CGGAGGCGGGGGACGACGTCTTGGATGAGGTGCTCGTATCTGTGCCACTGTTGGAAGTGGGAGTACTAGGTCAGCCCCGGTGACGATCCTGTATGGCGATTCTCCGGTTGTAGGGTGCGGGGTGTAACGGATGGTGGAGGCGACGATCTCGGGGAAGCTCCAGGGGGTCGTCGACGTGAAGGAGCTGATGGAGCGGTTGAGATATTGGTGGAAGGCTTCGACGACGCTGTTCCCTTGTGGATAGTACGCCGAGCAGAACAGACAGTTGATGCCTAACCCTTGGCATCGTTCCTGGAACTCGGTAGCTCGGAAGGCGTTGTCGCTTAGCAGATTTCGGGGTGTCCCGAGTAGGCTGAGCCAGTTGCAGTGAACGCTTCCCAGAGATCTACGGCTCGGACGGTGTTGAGGGGGACCGCGATCGCGAACTTGCTGAGGTGATCGATGCATGTGAAGAGGTAGTATTGTCGCTTTTGGAACCATATCGGGCCGACGGTGTCGCAGGCGACAATCTCGAACAGTCCAGTTGAGAGTAGGTTACCCCTGACGAAGTCGACAGCCGTGTGCCTCCTCCTGATGCGAGGGGAACGTTTCGTTGAGTGTCAGGACGCATGGCTGTACGTCAGTGTGTGAGGCGAGGACCCATCGAGCGTCGATGTCCTCGTCCAGTTTGCTGAACTGGATGTCCCTAGTGAAGATGTCTACGTGTTGCTGGTCCCGGCCGGCGCGGTAGACAACCTTGAACTGAAATTCTTGGAGGAACATCGCCCAGCGTGCGATGCGCGACTTCTCCGTGTTCCAGAGTCATTTGAGGCTTTGATGGTCAGTGCGGAGCTCACGTTGCTGGAATGCCACCGAGACAGTATCACGAAGATTCCTGGAGCGACGCATCCTTGACGTGTCATCTTCAACTGGACGACCTGGTTCGTGAACTGGAGCGAGTCTCGGCAAAATAAGATACCACTGCAATTGAGAAGAAATGCCGAGACAGGGTCGGGATGTCATTTTCGCGGACGTGAAATACAACTAAGGGCACATATATGAAGCCCCCTGAAGCAATCAGGATGAATTTACCGACCGACTGACCCGGCTGACAACCAGCCAACCACCTTGTACTGACTCAACGCGAGATGGCGAACCTATATGCCCTGGTGTCCAAGACGGGCAAATCCAGGGGACTTGCCTTGTTCCAGAACGGAGCCGTGACACGTATCGGCAGCGGCCCTACGAGAGGCAGGGGTCGCGGACGAAGCAGAGATTACTGCAGGTTGAAGGTGGCACGCTGGACATGAACTGAGGGTTTTGGAGTGTGCCGATCGAGGAGGGGACGGCGACGACGATGTGGGGCCATCGGTGAGTGCGTTGGCCAAGGGAACGAGCCCGGATTTTTGTTGAAGGCAATCGTCAAGGGGGTCGAGTTGGAAGGTTTTGGAGTGTGCCGATCGAGGAGGGGTACAAGCCGCTTTTACAAATCCAGTCTTTAAGTTTTGACGTCGTCCCACTCGGCATCAACAACTCAGCACCCAGCTGCAGGAAGGAGCTACAGAGCTTTTCAGGGTGTTGCCCAGCAGCAAGAAAAAGCAAATCCTAGAGCTGTGCAACTACCTACGTCCTTGCGTGTCAAAGCCGATGCAGCCCGGCCGGATAAGTAAGCACCACTTCTCCCACGCCGTGTTCCTGCTCGGTCCACTGTTCGCCGACAGCCACTGCCACGGCCGGTGCTTCGGCCCCCAATCTGTTCAGTGCGCCAACGGCCCTACTCCAGGTGACATGTTGTGGATGGCAGGGTTGGTAGAAGGGAATGTCGCAAGTCTTGATGTGTCTCGTTTTCTTTATATTGCATCGGACAAGCTTATGCAGATTGAACTTCAGGCCCTCGGCCCGAATGGCCCTCCAGTACGGGCCATCATGGAGTGCGAGTAAGTACTTGGTTCGTTCCTCACGTATTTCAAGCAAGTAATTAGCCCGGTCTTTCTCTGACAGGTCCGTTGGATCCATGGCTTTACTGTGGAGATAACTCTCCTTGATCAAGTGCCAGTTAAAGCTGTCCAGCCACCCAAGCAACCGTGCCCTCAAGTCGCTCTGGGCACGACCGTCTTCCCAAGCCCCGGCGAAAGTGGACAAGCAATAGTGAAGCGCCCTCAGCACGTGACAACACAACTCCTTCTTCGCACGAAACTCGCCGTGCAGTTCTTGCAGCTCCTCATTCGACAACTTCTCGTGCCTCGCGTTCTCCAAGCCAACTACCATGTTTGGCATGTCCGCAAGGATCTCGCAGCCATCAACCAGTAGTCTCTCAAGGTCATTCGAAATCTCAAAGTCATCCGAAATCTCGGTATCGCCGGTCGACAATTCAAACGAGCCAAAGGCGTCCACCAGATCCACCCACTTATCATCCACTCCAAAAGTCATCACTACTTTAGCCAGGACTTCCCACCCGACTCCACTCAGTCTGTCAATACCCCTTAAACACTTCATTTGAAAACCCCCCACTAAAAGAAATGTGGCACCGTTTTGTCACAGGCAACGTTCGGTTCGTTCATGTGAGCCGCATTTGTCGTCCGCAACACTCAGTGGGAACGGGGTCTGAGACGAGGGTGCATTATCAGTCAAGCCAGTCTCCTGCACGCACGCGGTTGACCGCTGCTCTTGTGGCTTGCATCCATCCCGATTTTTTCCCCTTCTCGAGCTTCTTCGGTACCTTCTTCTTTAGGTCGATTGTCTCTCCTACTCCGTCAAGCTCTCTTCTCCCTGGAACATCGAACCTCATCGTATGGTTCCCCGAGTTTGACGTCTTCGTCAAAACGCAGAGAGGTTTATGCTTCGCCTCGCCTTACACGTGCTCGGCAGGCATTTAAGTCGCATTGCTGGTCCCGAGCCGTGTGTTGATAGCCTCTCATGCTTCCTGGAGCGACGCGGAAACTCTGGGTCACTCAAAAACGAACTTTCCAAGATATAACATTCCACTCGACAAAGGCGGCGAGATTGCAATTCCGAGTCGTGAGGGGTAGTGCGTCTTTCAATAATTGAGTCCCCCCGTACTCTACTGCTGGTTGGACGTGCCCCAATTGGACTGTTGTCGTTTTTCTTGTTACCATAATTCTGTCTCTTCTCCAAAAAAAAACCGTTGGCACAGCTGCCGTTGGCACAGCTGCCGACTTACGCTGGGCCTTTAGATGGGTCCTGCAGCAGCCCCATCCGCATCGTCGTCATCAGACAGCCCCCAGGTCAGGCGTCCTGTTTTCGCTGCATCAAAGAGACTCAACAGGTTCCGCCTAGTTTCATACAATGTTCTCTTCCGGGTGTGGTTCATTACCGACTCTTGCGCGATCCACTCATCGCCGGCATTCACTGCCACGGTTGGCCTCCTGGCCCATGGCAGCTCTTCCAGGGCGCCAACGGCCTGAGCCCAGGCGACGTGTTCCGACCGCCGGGGTTGGTAGAAGGGAATGTCGCAGGTTTTGATGTGCTTGGTGCGTTTGAGTTTACACCGAATAAGTTTGTGCAGATTGAACTTAAGATCTTCGGCACGCGCGACCTCTGGGTTAAGATGGCGACGACAGAATCTAAGTAAGTGCTTGCTTGGGTTCTCTATACTTAACTCTTCTGAATCGTTGTCGGCCAAGTCCTTTTCTGAGTCCTCTTCTGAGTCCTCTTCTGAGTCGTAAGTGGTTGACTCTTCTGAGTCGTTCTCGGCCAAGTCCTTAACTGAATCGTACTTGGCTAAGTCCTTCTCTGAATCGTACTTGGCTAAATCGTCATCTGAGTAACTTTGGTCGATCAGGTCATTCATAGCTTTACTCTCCATGACCTCTGCCGAGCTACATACGAATCCATCCAACCAATAACGCACCGGATCCAAATGCCGCAACCTCTCTCGTGTCTGGCGGTGCTGAGCTTCAGAACTACTGTCCCTGTACTCCTCGAAAATATAAATACAATCATCTTGGCTCATGCGTGTGTGAAAACGACACAGCCAACCAATCAATGGTTCCCGTACCTTCTGCGGAACCCTGACTTTCGCGAAGACGAACAAACAGTCATGAAGGGCCCTCAGGACGTGAAAGCACAGATCCTTCTTCGCACGAAACTCGCTGTGCAATTCTTCCAGCTCCTCAGGCAACAATTTCACGTGCTCAACATCCTCCAGGCCAATTACCATGTCTGGCATGTCCTTGAGGATCTTACAAGCATCAACCACTAGTCTCTCAAGGTCATCCGAGGCTTCAAGGTCATCCGAGGCTTCAAGGTCATCCGAGGCCTCATGGTCATCCGAGGCCTCATGGTCATCCAAGGCCTCGTGGTCGTTCGAACCCTCGGTATCGCCGCTCCACAATTCTAACGAGCCAAAGGCCTTCACCAGATCCACCCGCTTGTTATCCACTCCAAAAGTCATCACCACCTTGGCCAACGCTCCCCATTTGCTCCCGTGCCGTACGTCAGCAGCTCGCAGACACTTCATTCGAAAATCGTTCTCGAAGAGATTTTTTTTTGGAACTGGTCTACCGTGAGTTGCTTCAGCAACGACTTAGCCCGGCTCGTGCGCCGGGGCCTGCTGGCACTCGTTGCTACCTGGTTGCTTCTGGGGGAGGGATGTTGTTATTGCTCTTATTGTTGCGACATCGACAGCGCCCTGTGTTAGACGGACTATGCTCCTCGCACTTTCTCATTCATCCTGACGCAGCTTACGGCGCCCCGAGAGTCCCGATGTGGACCTAGCACGTGAATACTTCCAGGTGGTTCGGCTTGCGATGACATGTGGAGGAATGAGCTACTATTGTTGTTTGTGGTTTGTGTGTGAAAAGAATGTGGAGTTGCATGCCGCCCTTCGAAAGGCGTGGGTGCATAGTCGGAGGCGGTGGTCTACACACTTGAAGTGAGTAGCTAGAGCGCTGAATGTGAACGACGAAAACGGTTCTAGCAAGAAAGCGGGTGACGGGGAGACCCAGACTCAACAGGGACTCTGCTGGTGAAAAGCAGCCGGTTAGACCAAGGAATAAAATGCGAACGTCTTTGTACACCGCTGTGGACAGACGCTGTTGGCGACCTGCTGTACAGAGACGTGGTGAAAAAAAGGCCATGACGAACCCCAATCGCGTGGGATTTGGTTTGAAAGGTTCGTGAGCGCGGCGGAGGGTGGGTGTGAGCGGAATCATGGGGATTGGTATCTCAATGTCGATCTTAAAACTCTAAGGGCAGAAAATTGGATGGAATCAAGTTGAACAGTTGATTCCACCCAAAACCACATCTTGTCAGTCTTTAGTGATCAGCAACCCGCCCCGCAGTGGAAATCAAAGCTCTTCCTGCACGCTGAAAACGCTGGCGCGGCGTCCGTGTTCGCTAAAAGCAAGCGCGCGCATGTGGTTAGCCTCCCCACCAAGAATAACGGATTTTTCTAATAACCTCCTCAAGGACTTTCGCATTAAATCTCACCGACCGCAATATCGGTGTTTTGGACCGGCAGCGAAAATAAATAAAAATAATAAAATTTAATTATGAGATCAGCAGCAATCAAGTCAACCCTGGGGTCTGGCGTTTCACCCGTTCTGTTGGGCTTTATCCCGGTGGGAATAGCGCATATCTCACTGTACGCGACTCGAGGCTCACTCAGCATGGAGAGGCAGGGTGATGCTTATAGTAATCCAAGGCCCGCCGATAATGCTTCGCCGTGCGAGGTGGCTTCCGCGGTGGTCAAGGAGATCCTCTCCCCTGGGCCGCCCGACAAATGTCCTCCCGACAGCGTGCCTTATGGGCAGCAGTATTGGACGCAGGGTACGTCACAGGTCCAGCAGCAGCAGCAGCAGTCTTGGGTCCAGGTCCAGCCGCAGCAGTCTTGTGCCCAGTCTTGTGCCCAGGTCCAGCCGCAGCAGTCTTGGCCTCAGACCCAACCGCAACTGATCGACCCTTCGGTGTTGTTTCCTCGCGTTAGGGAGCTACTGGATCCGCAAGAGAGAGTGCCCGACACGTTTGAGGAGTTTTCAACTGCCACCTTCAGGGACCCGTTTTTAAGACGCATGCAAAGCACAGTGCTGGAGGAATACGACAGGCTGAAAGAGCAGTTTATACAGGAGATAGCGGGCAAGGTTCATAACCATTGTGACATGGCCTACTATATCAACAACACCTACTTTTACGCCTGGCTTCTCGGACGACCCATGACCTCTGCAGAACAAGCCAAGGCTGCCTTAATCGGCAAACAGAACAAGGTCTCTTTCCTCCAAGACTTCGCTAACAAGACCATGACAAATGGACTGGCAGACACAAAACATCTAAACGACGACCACCTGGATTTCGATGATAGTGATTATGAAATAGACGAAGATGACAGCTACGAGGTTCTCCAATCGTTCTAACCCCATTCGACAGCTCCTAAACCCTAAGGTGATTATAAATCTTAAGGTGCTCATATATAGCGACAGAAATTACTATAGTGATAGAAACTACTATCGTGATAGAAACTACCTTCCTTATATTGTAACAGAAGGCTCTGATCACAACAGATCCTCAATGCATTAAAATATACGACGCTAAATAATATTGGCCGATGGATTATACGGGTTGCATTGTTTACTACCACGGGGAGTTGATGTGCGTGCGTGACAGCCAGACTAAGCAGTCGTGGTGTCCAGACTGTGTTGAACTCGAGGAACGAGTGTGTCAAGCAGCCTCCAAAAGACCTGCCAAACTCGTCCAGGTGTCTGTGGGAGACAGGCCCACTTGGAAGGACCCGGAGTGCAGCTATCGCAAGGCTCCCTTCAACCTTACCGAAATACCTACTCTTGTTCAGTACGATACAGAAGGTCATGAGGTAAAACGGTTGGTTTGTGACGACATCAAAAATGAATCAAAGCTGCAACAATTTTTTGAATAGTCTACGTAACCCAGGACTAGCCCGAATGCGTTCCATTTCTTTTGGCCACCACACTCGTGTGTTTTTTCCGTGCGGTGTATTCGGAGAATGCTTCTGAACGAGACCTCTTATGCTAGACCTCTTATGCTAGACCTCTTGGGCAAATTAATTAATCAATGAACTAAAAAGAAACTATCTACGTTGCTCAAAAAGCTTAGTGTTTAGCAGCCTCGCCGACAAACATCTGGACGAGAGAAGTTTCTATCTGTTCCATAACTCTGCGGTAGCCCTTGGGGTCGGAAATATTAAGCTTAAAGAATGCGGTGGGGACTTCTTCAGCGACTGCTTTATCATTAATGGGGGAAGTCTCAAGAGACTTGACTTCAGCCGACTTGAACTGAGCAGACTTAGCTTCAGCTGACCTGGTTTCAGCCGACTTGAACTGAGCAGACTTAGCTTCAGCAGACTTGGTTTCAGCAAACTTGACTTCAGCAGACTTGACTTCAGCAGACTTGGTTTCAGCAAACTTGGTTTCAGCAGACTTGGTTTCAGCAGACTTGGTTTCAACAGCACACCTGGAGGAAGTCTTTTGTTCGGTTTCCTCACTGGCGGACCAGGACCAGTCATGAGTAGACCAGGAGGAGGCGGACCACTCCTTACCAGACCATTCGCGAGCGGCCTCCTTGCTCACTTCTCCCTTGCTCACTTCTTCCCTGCTCGCTTCTTCCTTGCTCACACAGCCACTGCCGCACTTTGCGCACCCGTTAGCAACGCTCGGCTTCATGCTCCCGGTTTCTGGCGCCGGGGTCTGGATTTCCGGAGTGGTGGTCAATGTCTCGGCTTCCGCTTCAGCGGATGTAGTTTGACTGCCGGTTTGGTTGGCCTTCCTAAGGGTCTCCAAAGGCACGCTGCTTTGGACAAAGTAGCTGTATTGAGAGTACTTATTCTTGTCACGGTATTCGCTTTGGTACTTGGCGGCATGGTCGTTTTCGACGGCCATGGAGTACTCAGACGCGCCATCTTTCTTCACATACCGACAAGCGACGTCATAGTCGGGGTCGGTAGGCTCCACGTTGTCCGTCAACTGCCGCTTCTCGCTCGCCGCAGTAAACTTGCCACTGTCTTGTCCTCTCTGATACTTGTATTCCATCTCAAGCGAATCAGCCTTCGCCTCGATCTCGTTGAGCGCCGCGCCCGAAGGGGCAATTGGGGAACTCAGTCCCAGCACCGCCAAATGGCCGCAGCCGTCATTGTTTCTTCCTGACTGTATAGTCTTCATGTTTTACTCAAAAATTTTTAGAAGGAAAAAAAAGATTCCTGAAAAGCCCCGGGCAATTTTATACCACGGAACTACTACATCGCGGGGCACCCATCCGCCTGGAGACTCCGTACGCGTCTCGAGCGTACCAGAACACAACGTGGAACCCGCTGCTGTATAACTTAACGCCCTGCCCGCCATAACACAACTTTCACAAAAAGAGGACGTATAGGACACAACGGGCTGGCAGAGTTCATCAGGACTCGTGACCGGCCCTTTTATAGACCTATTTAATTCCTTTGGTGCCCTCATTCTGCCCACAGATTGTAAGGGACAGAAAGAACTGACCGTGTGCGTCCGGTCGTACACCCAGTACCCCTTTAAGAATCCTACTTGATTTGATCCCCTTGACGTTCAAGCACCGATATTATTGACTTGGGCCTACCTACTGCTATGCGTGCATGTCCATGAATGCGCGCCACCCACCCTTCGATTCCCGGGTGGGATGGTGGGGCAGACTCACGAAGAGGTTCAGCGGACCAAACCCACCACCGTGAAGTTATCCACCGTTGATGCCATGGTTACAAGAGCGCACAGACTGTTCAAGCAACGAGTTGTCCACGAACACGTGTTCCGAGGCCACGAACACGTGTTCCGAGGCCACGAACACGTGTTCCGAGGACGACCGAGGACAAGCAAGCCCTACGAACAAGTGAATATGCACAAGCCACCAGCTACCATTGTTTTGATTAGAAAAAAGTAACTACTGTCAGTTAAGCCTAGTACGTCAGTTTGGCGTTGGGGAGGAGTTAGAATTCCTCGATGACGGTGAACCCTTCGACGTCCTCCTGCTGAGTATCGTCCTCGTTATCGGACTCGGCATTTTCCGCATCGGTGGCGGAGGGCGCATGGTTGAGCATGGCCTTATCGGCCTCTGCGTTGATCCAGGCCATTTTCTGGGCGACACCGGCTTGCTGTGCGCGGAGGTATTCCTCACCGGTCATAGGGCGGCCGATGAGCCAGGCATAGAAGACGACGTCATTGATGAAGAAAGCGAGGTCGCAAGGTCCATGGATCTCAGGTGCCACTGCCTCCACGAAATGTTGACGCAACTTGTCATAATTCTCGTTCACCAAATTCTGAATCTTCACCAACTGAGGGTCACGGAATGTGGCCGATTGGAACTCCGGCAAAGTCGCAGGAATCTCCTCCCGCTGTGCGGCGCCCAGCAGAGACTCCAATCGCGCGCATAATGCCTCGGCCGCGACTGGCTGCGCTACTGCTTGCGTAACTGGCTGTGCCACCGGGCAAGCCAGAGCCTGTTGGCCAACCTGGTAGGGCACAGCAGCAGTCTGTGCAACCTGGTAGGGCACAACCTGGTACGGCACAGCAGCAGTCTGTGCAACCTGGTAGGGCACAGCAGCAGTCTGTGCAACCTGATAGGGCACAGCACCAGTCTGTGCAACCTGATAGGGCACAGCAGCAGTCTGTGCAGCCGGCATGGGCGCCTGCGCAGAAGGTTCGAATGCGACGGGTTCGAAGATTAGCTCGACCACCGGCGCAGCAGAGGCCGGAGCCACGGCGGGCACAGCTTCCACCACCGGCACGGCTTCCACGACGGGCGCGGCTTCCGTGGCCGTCTTCAACGACTCCGGCGCGGCCGGCGTCGCATCCGAGGGCGGGAAGAATGTGATGCGCGCGTCGATGTGCGCGTGACCGATTGCGCCGGACGACAAAGCGCCTGACGCCACAAGGGCCTCCCCCGCCACAAGGACGTTGGGAATGAAGCCGAACCTGGAAGCAAAGGTGACCACGCTCTTCATGATACAATAATAATAAAATAAATTCTTGGTCGCGGGGGCCGGCATCTAAAGTCCTCCCCGGAGGTCGGCCAGCCAGGCCGGTCGGTCTTGGAGGTCGGCCGCTCGGGATTCTGCTTGCGGCCGGATACTCCGCCAGTACCTCCCTGTCCCGCCTTTCTGTACGTGCTTGCGTCTTTGTCAATCTGGGCGGTAACACTTATCGTGTCAAACGACCCTGTAAACGCACGCGTGTTTGCAGAACTGACAGTGGACTGACAGTGAACTGACACTGGACTGACAGTAGGAGGGGTCAGTTTGTCACGCAAACCGTTTGGGTCATACAGGCCGCTCGGGTCATGCAAACCGCTTGGCGTGTGCGGTGAAGCTGTTGTGGTGGATGGGCACAGTTTAAAACCTGGGGAGAAATACGGGGAAAGGGGCATTTGCCTTGGTAAAATATGCTCGGCCCGCAGGGTCACATTAAGGAGGCGGTGAGCGTGGTATACGCGAGCCGCACTAAGGCAGACCACAATGAACCCATAGTGCCGCCAGGGCAGTTGGCGAAGATTTGCGCCCAGGAGGAGCTACGCTGGAGTGCGGACACCATCCCGATTCGGAGCCACGGAACCAAGGACCTGAGTACGGCCACAAGACGGGTCGGACTTGCCCGAGTCAAGGCCGCCTGCCAGAACTACGACCTGCTCCGCACCTACGAAGGTCTCGGACGGTCTCCCAGCCGCTCCATCAACTTGGCCGAGTAAGCCCC